CATGGTGACCCTAGAGAGGGTTTGTGAAGTTGAGAATCTTTATGGGGGGAGCACATGACCTCATCTTTCCCCCATGGGGAGGCCGTTGGTGGGTTTGAATGGCCAACCTGGCAGTTGGCAGTTCAGTGGCAGACAGGATTATCTGAGGCAGGCGAGCCACAGCTGACAAACAATGGGGGAAACCTGGAGATGACCTTTGAGGATTTACATCATTCAGTGACTTGCTTATTTGTGAGCCTTCTTGATGTGTAATGTAGATCCCATAGCTTTGGCAAATAATTTTCAATTGGTACTATTAGTTGCTCTTCATGATATTAGCAAACCAAGCAACCTAAGTGCATCCTGGTTGCGTGCATGAAAAGGCGCCATTTCTCAAGAAACACCAGTGTGTGCTGTGAACTTATGTCATATGAGATTCTCCATCCAAGACGATGGGTGTATGCAGCCATCCCCCATTGTCACTGAGTTCCTAGACTCAACATGCCCTCTTGGACAGAGTAGAAATGCCCCATAGGACTTATCAGACAACCTCATCTTTTTTGCCTGAGACACAGCTGGTGAGTTTGAACCTTTGGTTTTCATCACATCCATCACATCATCAAAGCTCCTGGTGCATGCAGCCCCCCCCAAAAAAAAAACCCCACACAAAACAAAAACAAAATACTCATCAAGTCAATTCTCACTTAAAGTAATTGGCACAAACTCCAAGGTTGTAAGATGTAGGGGAACAGACAGCCTCATCTTTCCCCCAAGGAGTGGCTGGTGGATGTGAACCTCTGATTTTATGGTTAACTCCCCGCGCCACCAGGCCCTCTCAGATAATCAGTAGCTATAGGTTCCTTTCTGAGAAAGTTGATGTGGCTGGGCTCCTATAGTTCAAATAGGATAATTTCAAATGGATGAAATGCTCTTCCGAGAAGAAGATGCAAAAAGTCTCCATTAATTCACAGACATTATTGAGTGTCTAGTGCCCTGGTAGCACAGTGGGTTAGAAATTGGTCTACTAACCTCCAGGTCAGTTGTTCAAACACACTAGCTGTTCTGTGGGAGGAAGAGGAAATGGTCTGCTCCCTTGAGATTTACAGCCCTGGAAACCCCCCGGGTAGTACTGCTCTAGCCTACATGGTTGTTAGGAGTCAGAATGGACTTGAGGCAGTGCGTTTAGTGTTTAGGATGCACTGTGAGTAAAGAAATAGACTTTTAAGCGAAACCATATTGCCTGCTGCTTCTTCAGTGTCACAGTGTTTGACCCTGGGGCACTAACCATTCAGTCATTAGCAAACCTGCATGGAATCGTCTATGCCATCTCTGTGTCTACTACGATTTGAAGGTCCCCACAAAGAGCAAGTGGCTTATAGGGTAGACAGACTCGGAAACTAGTAAAAATAATGGAGTGGAATGAGTACCATGGAACAGGCAAGAACATAGACAGGGATAAATACAAATTAATACAAATGTTGTTTTGTTCAGTCGTGAGGCCTGTGGAGTCTTGAAGGATATGGAAAGTTTTCTAGTTGGGATGAGCATGACCGACTGCGAACACGAACAGAGGTGTGATGGCAGTAGAGAGCCTGGCCTCTTCTAGGGTGGTGGTGGGAATACTTGGAGTTGGCAGGAGCGAGTGCGTGTGTGTCGTAAGGAGTGACCAACACGAGGCTGGTGACATAGGTCAGGCTGTTGTATGTTGAGAGGAGGAAACAGGAGGACTGGAGTGTTGAGGAGGGAAGACGTGAACAATGTCACCTTTTCTCTGTTGGGAAATCATATTCATTCGAATCTCGTCATCTCTGATCCAGAGCTACCCAGGGAAAACCAATCCCTTTGTTTTTGTTCTCCCCATGTATGAGGGGCCTTCAGAAAGTTTGCGGGAAAATGGAATTGAAAGACAATGGAGTTTTAACTGGCTTTTAATACAGTGGATTGCATATTAAATTCCCAAGGTTCTTTGCTGAGGAAGAACGGAACATGGCCTCTCATTCTGACTGTTTCTGCCGGTGCAGGAACAATGGCTTATTTCTTGGAAGACAAACAGCACCTGTGGCAGGGCAGCACCTCTCCCTTTGGGGACAATAAGGTGACCAGTGCCACAAAGTCACACTAGAGACCAGGCTTACTGGTCAGACAGAGACTTGTGGAACTACCAAGATTCTGGCTCAGACTCACCTTTCAGGTCTCGACCTGAACTCACTTCTCAGCCTTGTGCAAAAGATGTCTCTTCTCAGGCACCTTATATGGCACTGCTATAAAACCCAAAACGGAACCAAACCAAACTCACTGCCATTGAGTCCATTCTAACTCACAGAGACCTTGTAGAACAGGGTGGAACTGCCCACTGTGGGTTTCTGAGAATGTAACTATTTACAAGAGTAGCAAGTCTCATCTTTCACCCAAGCGCTGCTATACGTCGGAGTCAAAGTTAATGGCAGTGAGTGTGGGGATAAGTCAGAATTGACCCTGTGGCTGTGGTCATGGGTTTGGTGTTAGCCTTAATAGTGGGGACAATAATACTAGCTACATATGTACAGCTTAGCATTTACTTAGAATAATACTAGCTACATAAGCACAGCTTAGCATTTACTTAGAATAATACTAGCTACATATGTACAGCTTGGCATTTCCCAGGACAGAGTTCAGCAGGGTTAGTAAAGAAGGGGGGCTGGAACCAGGGAACCCAGGGAGGAAGTGGAGGAAGTGACATTACTCTGAGGGGACTGGAGTGAATGAAATGAAACAACGTGTGTGTATTGTTGCATGCAAAAACAGTGATCTGCTCTGTGCACCTTCACTCAATTCACAATAAGAAGTTTTAAAAAAGAAACATAATGGAATTTTCCATGAATTTTTGAAGCCCCCCCCACCATAGTTTTGCTCAACTGTTACCCACTTATCCCATTATTTTATGTCTGCCTTCCTCTCAGTCCTTGAAGGAAGATATTTACATTTTATCGAGCTAGATTACCTGGCTACATAATAAAAACAAAACTATGTACATACACTGACAACCCAAACTCAACAAGTTAGATCAGAAGCTTAGAGGCCAGTGTGTTTATGGTAACAGGAGAGGGGCCATCAGAAAAGGAGGAGGGTGGACGGATGTAGCCGGCGTCACTGAATTGGACACACGGACAGTGTTGGGATGGTGAACATTTTAACCATGATCACAAAATAAATTAAAACAAGCAGAGCAAAAGAAACGTGAACTGCACTCTACAGAGTTGTTGAGGTTTCTTCCACAGCTCCTGTGGGTAGATTTAAACTATCAATGTATGCGTCTCCATTTGTGTTATTTTGCAGATTAATATCCCAACTGAGGTATCTTCCCCGCCCACCCACTGCCATCGAGCGAATTCTGACTCATAGTGACCCTGCCTTTGGGTTTCTGGGACTAGGAGTCTTTACGGGCGCAGACTACCTGCCTGCTCCTATTTTTACGGGCGGGTGCAGACTACCTACCTGTCATTCACCTGAGGAGCGGCTAGGGACTTAACCGCCCACCTTGCAGTCCAACGCCTAGCTGACAGCACCCAAGTGTCTCACAACGAACGTTCCAAGATTCTGCACGTTTAAATACTTGTGTTCCACCCCCTGCCCCCACCCCAGCCCTATTTTTAGACTACATGGCAGAAATTGTGAGCGTGGAGACTTTAGAACTCCTTGGGCATCATAGCTTGTTTGGCATGATTGACTTCTTTCCTTAAATGTAATTTGTGTGAGATTCAAAGCTTGGTCTAGGAAAGTGAAATGCTCACATTTTGAAACTCTAAAAATAAAACGCCTGAGAGATGATGGCAAAACAATGGTTTCAATCAGAAATGTATTCTGAATACAGCATCTAAATGAGAACTAATTACTCAACCAGATCGCAGCTACTAGGCATTCATTGTTTTAAGGCAATTAACAGTGATGAGAAACTTTACTAATGAAATATTGTAAAAACCCCGGGGTTTAGTTTAGATTTCTAGTCAGTTGTGATGATCAAATTGCTCTTTAGATACAAGATGTAATATGAATGATTATATCCTATAATACATTTTTGTGTTTTAATGAGAACACCATTCTCATTCTCTTAGTGGATAGATAGCTTTCCCCAAATCGAATCGCATTGATCCTGTGTTGTTTTGTTTAAGATTAATTTAGAAGCAATGCTCTTCCTTTGCTGAGGAATTTATGATATTTGTTGGATCAAATATACTAAAGTGTAGTTTTCTGCAAAAGTTTAAGAGAAATGTGGAAGGGCTTCAAAAAGTTTGTGGGAAAATGGAGTAATAAGTAATGGAATTTTCCCACAAACCTTATGAAGCCCCTTGTACACATGAATGAGCCTGCTAAAGAAATCATCCCACTGCTTATCAAGCTCAAGAAGTGGACAAGGAGGAACCTTCAGAAAGCATCACTTAATAGTTCGTATTGGTCCATCTAGGAGCTCTGGTATGGAGCTGAGATGGCGTGGTGGGTGAAGCAGTGCGCTGCTAACTTCAAGGTCAGCCTTTTGAAACCAGCACTCTCTCTTTGGGAGAAAGATGAGGCTCTCAACTCCTATAAAGAGCTCCAGTCTCGGACTCACCTGGGGCAGTTCTATTCTGCCCTGCAGGGTCGCATGAGTTCGGAGCAGCAGTGGACTGCTATCTGCAAGGTCAGGGGTTCAAACCCCTCCACCAGAAAGAGAAGTCTGTCTGCTCACATGAAGACTGACAGCCTCTGAAACTGTACTGTACATGGGGTCACAATGAGTCAGAAAGGACTCAAATGGTTGCACGTTTCAGTTAGTAAAACGTAACAATATTAGTGCCTGAAGCATTTTGATTTTGTTCTATTCTTTTCCTCTTATTCGGAAAAAAATGCTGTTTACTTAATGTATGAAGTATAAGGCCTTTCATGATACAACTGATCAGTGTGCCCACATAACTTACCATTCACTTAATGACATAATAATAAGACGAGATCATTCATGTTCTAGATACAAACTGCTAAATAACTTAATGCTTTTTCCCCCCCAACAGATGTGAATTATTAAAAAGAAAATGGCCCAACGGAACACCGAATTTCCTTCTCTTGTCACCAAGGAAAGGTATAATATATGGAAAATATGCATCTAAGGTATACTTTTCCTTTCCACTGATCCCAGGAGGGCTGCTAGTGGGTGTGGTGGTTGTGATATATGGTGCCTGTGGCTGCTGCCTTGTTCCAGCAGGGTTTTGCTCAAGGGAGAATGAAGTATCGTGTCCCTGGTCCCAGCTTCTAACTTGAAGGCGTCGTGAGCCACATAGGGCCCCGGTGACAAGCACAGAGGGTTGTGGGTGAGACTGCGTGCTCCCTTAAAGACAGCCTCTGAAGCTCCCAGCTGCAGCCCTGCCCTGCCTGTGAGGCTGCGACGAGCTGCAATCAGCTCGATGGCAATGGGCTTGGTTTCTTTCTTTGGTGAGCACTCAGTGGGCCCAACAGTGAGGGACCTCACAGGAGCCCCATGGTAGGGTTGAGCTTCCCATGAACAGTCAAATCAACCTGGAGGCTGGGGCCCACAGCCCTGTCCCCTTTCAATCAGAACTTTCAGATATCGGGCATCATCAGAACCAAAAATCATATCATTGTGAATGAGGGGGGGAGTGCGGAGTGGAGACCAAAAACCCATTTGTAGGCCACTGGACATCTCTGGACATCCCCTTCTCGGGGAGGAGACGAGCCAGTCAGGGTGCAATGTAGCAACGATGAAACATACAACTTTCCTCTAGTTCCTAAATGCTTCCTCCCCCTCTCCCCCAACTATCATCATGATCCCAATTCTACTTTACAAATCTGTCTGTACACTGGTACAGATAGGAACTGGAAACACAGGGAATACAGGGCGGATGATCCCTTCAGGACCAGTGGTGTGAGTGGTGATACTGGGAGGGTGGAGGGAGGGTGGGTTGGAAACAGGGAACTGATTACAAGGATCTACATGTGACCTCCTCCCTGGGGGATGGACAACAGAAAAGTGGGTGAAGGGAGACGTCGGGCAAGGAAAGATATGACAAAATAATAATTTATAAATTATCAAGCGTTCATGAGGGAGTGGGGAGTGGGGAGGGAGGGCAAAAAATGAGGAGCTGATGTCAGGGGCTTGGGTGGAGAGCAAATGTTTTGAGAATGATGAGGACAATGAATGTACAAATGTGCTTCACACAATTGATGTATGTATGGATTGTGATAAGAGTTGTATGAGCCCCTAATAAAATGATTAAAAACAAAAACTCAAACAACAAAAAAAGAAGTTTCAAATGGGGAGTCCACAGGCTGAAATCCACTCACAGAAATAGGTTGCTTGGCCTGCATGATTGTAAATACTTTAAAAATCCACTGTCAACATTTTAAACTCAGGCACAAAACAAAACACGTTTGACCTGCATTTCCAAATGGCCACTTGTGGGTGGAGCTGAGTGATGGCTCCTCCCAGCTGGGGAGGATCTTTCCCTTCTCCAGCTTTCCCACCACCTTTACGCCATCCCCATTTGCTTCACTGAGTTAGGCCACCTGCCATTGAGTTTAAAACCACCTCTGTAGAGGGAGGAGGCTGACGGGGGCCTGCCAGGAGACCTAGTAAACAAACAAACACAGCCCATCCTGGGAAAGAGCTCAGCACGCTGAATTCTAATCGCCTCGGGATCCTGGAGCCTGTTGGGTCTGGGACCAGCACCCTAAATTCTGTAGGAATGCATGATTGTTCACAGCCATTGCCTGACTCGTGGGGAAAAACCCTTTGGTGGGCAGGGTGTTGTTATTGTTCAGTGCCATTGAGCTAGTTTGGACCCATAGTGACCCTGGGAATAACAGAACCAAGCACTGGCCGGTCCTGGGCTGCGCTCACACTTGTTCCTATGCTTGAATCTAGTGGGGCGGCCACTGTGCCAAGCCCTCTCATGGAGGGCCTTGCTCGCTTTCGTTGCCCCTCTCTACTCTACCGAGCACGCTGGCCTTCAGCAGGCACTGGGCTTTCCCGACAAGGTGTCCAAAGGACATGAGATGAAGCAGGGATGGGTATTTTGTATTACGAATCTGGCTTTGCGGGTGTCCCACCCTCCCCTCAATGAGCACCCCTTCTCACGCGGTTCCCTTCCGCAGGAGAGTGAGAACCATGCCCCGACACAGCCAGTCTCTGACCATGGCGCCCTACTCGTCTGTAAGTCTAGTGGAGCAACTGGAAGACCGGATCCTCTGCCACGAGAAAACCACCGCAGCCCTGGTGGAGCACGCCTTCCGCATCAAAGACGACATCGTCAGCAGTTTGCAGAAGATGCAAAGCAAGGGGGGAGGCGACCGCCTGGCCCGGCTTTTCTTGGAAGAGCACATCCGGAACATTACTGCCATAGTGAAGCAGCTTAACCGGGACATTGAGGTAGGTGTGCCGTCAAGGACCTGGCGTTCCTGCCCCCAGCCTTGCTTGGAACCCAGAGATGACCGAGTCTAAGTCTCACCTCTCAGGCAGTGATGGATTTAGACTAAAGCCATCTTTTTCTATTCTTAATGATCGCTAAGGAAACAGCTTGCACAAACATCCTAGTTTCGTTTCTTCCAGTAAGGATGGCAGCTCCAGTCGGTGTTATTTATGTGTGGTCTAAATTTATCTTTCTGATTATTAAATCTGTTTTGTTTGTGTGGCTCTCGGTTGGCGAGAGAAAAGAACGAGTCAGATTGTTTCCTTGTGAAACCGTTCAGATCTTTGAAGATAGCCATTAAGTCAGTAATGAGGGAGGTCAGCCGTTGCTGCTCCCAGTGGAATATTTTGAGGTCCTAATGATTATTTATTATAAGGTTTATTAGTCAAATAATCTAGATCTTTGGATTGCTTCTCAGAGCCCCCTTCCATTGCTCCGCTTTTCTCTGAAATGGGCCCAATAAAAGAGCAACAGTGAATATTTTTTAGGATCTACGGAATTCTAAACTCAATGTTGTTTACTGAGCCATCCCAGAGCCCATACAATTTAGGTGAGAAAGTGTAAGGCCATTGGGGGCCTGCCTCCCCTCACTGCACAGCGCCAATATCCTTCCTGTGCAAGTTTTAAATGTATCAATAAAAGCTAGGTGGCCAGATTAAGAAAAAGCTTTGTTTTAAGTCATAGAGATTGTATTTTAATTCTGCTTTCTGAAATCAAACCTCATTCCTTCCTTTTCTTTTTATTCTACTTTAAAACTTTTTCTTTGCGTATAATTTAAATGCCACAAAGCCCACCCGTTGTAAGTGTTCAATAATTTTTAGTAAGTGTATAGATTTGTGTGGCCATCAACACAATTCCATGTCAGCGCATTTCCAACACCATCTGTGCCCCCCAATCTACACGAGCCAGTTTGTACTCAAGCCCTGTGCCCTCTTCCACCCCAGCCCCACACAACCAGTAGTCTAACAGACATTTTAATAAGTGGACTCATACCACATGGAGTCTTTTGCATACGGCTTCTTTCATTCAGTAGGGTCTTTTTAAGGTACAACATGTTCTACCATGTATGTTCGTTTGGGCATATGTTCAATGTCCTCGGATAAGGTCCCAGGAGTGCAATTGCTGGGTCTTAGCATAAGTGGCACAGAGGGTTGTTATGAGACAGGATCAGCTGGATGGCACTTCACAACTACATGGTAAGCTAATGGTTACCTTTTACCCCACTGCCCAAATGGTTTCCAAATGGCTATGCCATTTCCCAGTGTTACCGGCATCGCCTGGAGGTTCCTTTCTCTCCCCATCCTCATCCACTCGCGATACTTTTTGCACTCATTGTAGTGGATGTTTAGTGGTACCTCATTATGTTTTTCATTCGCATCTCCCTAATGACTTCTCATTTGCTTATTGGGCATCAGTCACTCTTGTTTAGGGAATGTCTATTCTTTGGCTTAAATCTAGTTGGGGAGGGTAGCTTTGCGCTGAGGCCTGCCGGCCTTTGTAATTGCCTAAGGAGCCCTGGCGGCCTAGTGATTATGAGTTGGGCTGCGAACCCCAAGGTCAGCCCTTTTAAAGCACCCGCCTCTCCAGAGAAGACAGAGGATGCCTTCGACTCCCATCAAGACCTACAGTCTTGGAAACGCACTGGGACAATTCTCCCCAGTGAGTTGGAGATGATTTGATGGCAGTGAGAGTCGGGCCTCAAAAAACCAGGCAGGCTTTTAGCCAGGAGTTGATCCCCTCAAAATCTTTCTAACGCATGACCCTTTGATCGTTATAAACGATTTCTCTCTGTCTCTAGTCATCGTGCCTGTCTCTAGTCGATTGTGTCTGACCTCACAGGAGCCACTGCAGGTCTCTGATTGCCACTGGTTTCACATGGTGGTGGTTAGGTGTCGAGTAGGTGTGACTCATGGAAACCCTACCACCAAATAAATAAACAAATAAACAAACAAACAAATAAATAAATAAACCCTACCACCAAATAAATAGATAGATAGATAGATAGATAGATAGATAGATAGATAGATAGATAAAAAAAGAAATGCTACCTCCAACAGAACTCCAGGCCTACAGCATCTTCACAAGGTTTTGTCACTGGCACGTCACAGGTTGTTCGTAAACCTTTCTCCAGTCTTGATGGCACCACGTTCTTCTTCATGTTTGTTTCCATGTACCTGTGATTTCCTTCACTCTTCTCTCCCGCAGAGAGGGAGACCAATAGTGGCCCATCAGACTGACGTCTTGTAAGCTTTGAAGACGCCAGTAAGTACTCATCAAAATAGAACATTAGCTTTGTGGACCATCGTAGGCCAATTGACATTGAGGTCTACTAAGACTGTCTGAAACCCAAGGCCCAGCAGTGGCTAGTTAAAAGGAATTTGTGTGTGTGCGTATTTAGGGTGAAAGCTTCACAACAGACAGGGTTTCCATTTAACAATTTCTGCCTTAATTATTCAGTGATTACCACCTCCCCAAAGTGTCATTATTCTTATTCATTCAGCTCCCATTGCACCACTTCTAGTACTCAATTTCTCCTGCCCTGTTGCGTTCTCATCCGTACTTAGAGTAATGTTTGCTCTTTTGTTCTCAAATAGATGTTTTGTTTTTTTTTTAAGGGAGGTAGTTGCTTTAAGTTAAACAAGTGGCCATTTAGCAGGGAAGCAACAAAGCCCACATGGAAGGAGCACAGCAGCCTGTGTGATCATGAGACATCAACGTGATTAGGTGTTAGGCATCAGAAGACCCCAAACAAACAGTCATATCAATGAAAGTGATGTGGGTCAGAGTGGAGACTCAAAGCCGATCAGTAGACAATTGGACATCTACTCACCCTCACAGAAGGGTAACAAGGAAGGGATGAGCCAGCCAGGGTGCAGTATAGAACTGACAAAACACACAACATTCCTCTAGTTCTTTAATGCTTCCTCCCCCCACCACTATCAGGACCCCAATTCTGCCTTAAAAATCTGGCTAGACCTGAACATGTACACTGGTACAGATAAGAGCACTTGACACATGGAATCCAGGACAGATAAACCCTTCAGGAACAGTAATGGGAGTAGTGATACCAGGAGGGTAGGGAGAAGGTGGAGGGAGATGAGGGAGAGAGGGGGATGGACATATAACCCCCCACACCCGAGGGGGACGAATAACAGAAATGTGGGTGAAGGGAAACCGCAAATGGTGTAAGATATGAAAATAATAATAATTTATAATTTATCAAGGGGTCCTGAGGGAGGTAGGGAAAAAAGAGGAACTGATACCAAGGGCTCAAGTAGAAAGGAAATGTTTGAAAATGATGATCACAACCTATGCACAAATGTGCTTGATACAATTGATGTATGGATTGTTATAAGAACTGTAAGAACCCCCAATAAAATGATGTATATATAAATATAATTATATGTATATACATGTCTGTACGTGTGTATACATATATATATGGAGGTAGTTACTTACAGGTGACAATCTTTTTGTTATGAGCCGTCCGTTATTTAAACTGAAAGGGATAGTTAAGTTTGAAAGGGTATCTTGGGACAATAATTTCAGAATCCTCTAGTCTCCACCAGTCTGGTAAGTCTGGCCTTTTTCAGCATTTGAGTTCCAGGTGTTTCTCGCACTCTGTCGGGCTCCGTCTCCTGTGGGCCCGACGGGAAGGGTGGGTGGGGGTGCTCAGCGCCCCGCAGTGCTGTGGGCTCAGGGAAGCCGCAGCTCTGGAGGTTCTTGGTCTTGTAGACACCCTTCTTCCCAGAGTCTTTGCTCCCTTCTCCTTGCTTTGGTTTTGTAGGAACCATAGTTGTATGGCCGCTATGAGCCAATAGTGTGGCGGTTCCTCACCTGTGTGCCTTATCAGTTCTTTAGACAAATGAGGTTGGGCCCATCACCCAGGTAGGGACATTGGATTTTCCTTCCCTAGAACTTGAAACCCGAGTGGGAAGGTTGGAACACCTCTGATAACCCAGCTGTGCCTGCACGAGATTGGCCAATAGTTGAGTTCCCTGAGTCCTGGAGACACCTGGCTTGGGTGGTTTTCTCCGTCTGGATCCCCCAAGGCCCCGTTGGTGGTGCGTCTCTCTGCCCGATAACAGTCCAAGAAATTCTGTATTTTTTTCTCCTCAGTTCGCTGGCGTCGGCTTTAATTGCCTGCATGAAAAGAGCTCTAGTGACGTCAGAGGGCCATAGGAAGATGAAGAGATTGCTGTGGATAATTTACTTGTGTTTGGAAGATGGTGTCTATATTTAGAATGATCTTTCCCGTTTTATATTTGGGTGCTAAAACACTTTATCTCGGAGACCGCGAATAATTTGGCAGCCCCAAGTTGGCGACTTCACGAAATTAAAGCACCCCAGCTTAGAGACTGCAAATTTCTTTGTTCTATGTTGTAGAATAGATTTTATTTTTGAGGGCTGCTTTAACTTGACAAGGGGGTGGGGGGACAAAGCCCACAGGTACACAGTAGGTACAGCGTTCTCTTCCTTCTTCCACACCGACTGTCCTGTTAAAGGTTTTCATTGTGAAAAAAGTTAGTGGTGTGTCGGGGGCTCATAGACCTGCTGCGCCCAAATAGAGAGAGGGGGATAAAATCAAAGTGCTTTACGGATAGATAACGATTCTCAGGTTCTCATCCCCATAGCCATGTCACAAAAAGGGACAGATGCCTAGGTGTCTGATGCTGGAAGGTAGTGTGATGCCCACTCTTTCCATAGCCAGTGTTCCCCTGTGCGTCCTTAGCGGAGTTCCCTTGGCTCACGGGGGTGGATAGATTAGAATAGGGCCTCCTATTCTGGCATTACTCTGCCCCACAGAGAAAAACAGAGAGTGCACCTCTACCTTTAGAAAGCCCCAAAGTTCATTTCTTCTCTCAACATAAGAGCTCACAATATTGTTTTACCCACAACCATTGAGTCTGGGGAAATTTTCCCCATTTGGTAGCGGCTATGTTTAAGAAATGGAACTCTG